CCCCCCCTTTTCAATGTCAAAGCTGCATATGTATACCAGTGGGTGCCAGAGAAGATACTGCAGCACTGACTTAGTAACAAGGAGGACTACACTAGAATCAGGATTAAAAATCAACTCAGCTCTTTCAGTTCTCCAGTAAGTACAACATTCCTGTCCTGTATATTATGACCAGGTTGAAAAGACAATGTTTTTAAAGTTGCAAGGAATGTCAGGATAGCATAATACTTTCATATGATATGAAAAAATGATGCTACCACAGGCATTCAATTAGTATTGCTAGAATTTAAAAATGTTTTTTCCTTAAACAATCCAAGCCAATGATTTGGAACCACTGTTTCAGGAAATATGAGTGTTACTACAGCATCTCCTTTTAGGCACAGTGTGGAACAGAGAGCAAAAATAGAAATAAAAGAAATACAATTTTTACATTATAAAATAGCAGGACTAAAACTACATCTGACATAATAAAATCAAAACAGAAACAGGTCAATTCAGTAAAAATTCAATTAAGTAAGCAATCAGGTATTTTAATATGTTAAGATTCTAATTCAACCATGCACTAATCCATAGTTTTATTCTAATTTATGAAAAAAGGAAAATAACAAAGTAAAGAAATCCTACATATCCAGTAAGACTTTTTCAGCAGCTATTGTAAAGACCAAAATTAAGTCTTTAATAAGACTGCAGTTTTACCTGGTGGATCCATTTCTATGTAAAACATCAAGTCTGTGCCACAATTTATATCTGTCTTAGGATATTCTATATCCAGTTCTTCCATATTCCAAACAGTATTGTACATTTGTATGAGTTTCACTGAGTAAGCTCAGATACAAGAAAAGAGTCGGGCTGTCTTTGTAATGGTGTCTTGGAATTCATTTTAAAACCTATAAGGGGCTGCACTGTAACCTATTACATCATAATCCTCAGCCAATCATGTCAAAATAATGTCACCAAACCACTCCTGCTTTCTCATTTTGTTCTACATTAATCTTAAAACAATTTCAGTTTTGGGCAGAATCTACATTTAGCAGAATTGCAATATAAAGCTGGTATTACACACAAAAGGAGCAAGTGGAATCTCCTTGCCCATATTCCTGGCTCATTTTCCTGACTTTGCAGCATGGTACAGTCCAATCCTGGCAGGATGACAAAAGGCTGATATGCTGCAGCACGTAGCTCTTAGACACAGGCGCACACAACACTCACATAGGGCAGCTCCCTTCAGAAGCAGGTTGGTCACATCTCAGGTGCATTCTCCTGCTTAAATCCCTGAAGTTTGCCATTCAAAAAGATTTAAAAGGCTTCTACAACTACTGCACATATTAGAGATGTATTAGAGAAGAGCATGACTGTGTGTGTATATCCATTACACACTCATTTTACACAAACACACAGAGAGATGTATATATCCACATCATGAAATATGGATTATGTTTTTAAACTCTGCATATTTCTACTATTTTTATGGGGACATAGGTCTGATAGAGTTTATATTATGATATAAATGTGCTTACTGCAGAGATATCTTCCCCTCTTGCCATTATTATAACCACTATTCAGATCAATCTATATTAATTCATTTTGAAATCTAAACCCCAAATATTGTAATCTTACATTCAGCTGATTCACTCAAACAATGGAAGAAAGTCATAACTGAGCGACATCTTCAAAAATGGTTTTGCTGAACATAAAAAATGTTGTGAGGATACAATAAGATTTAGTCTGCCTTTTCACACAGTTTCTCTACCCTATTCTCATTGATATATTTATCAAGTTAATTGTTTTTAAAAGCAAGAGTCTCTTGTCAGTGTCTCCTTTGCCCCTTGACTTCATGTCAGCAGCATCCTCCAACCATTTAGAAATATTCCATCTTAACTTCCCCCATCACTGACCGTAACTCTCTCTGACCTCTTGGAAGAAACATGGACAGACTATTAACTTCAGAGCAGAATTCTATGTAAAGCAATATACTCGCTATAATCTATGGGGGGAGAAAACCAGAGACAAAAATAACTACAACGAAAACTAGCTGCCGCAACTATCTGTGCCTTACACCTTAAGAAATTGTGGAACAGCTGAAATGTGCTCTATCTCACAAATACTCATTAAAAAAAATTAATACAATTTATATGATTTCCAAATATTTCACCCATGCCCTCCCCCCTCACCCCACCACTGTCTGCATCCCTGAGCAGGTTACCCCTTTCAGACAAGCACCAACATACAAGAGCATGTCTGGAGTACAAACATATACAAAAAGATGCAAGCTAGTTTGCTTTGTACATTAAGAAGCTTCATTTTGAAGTAGACTGTCCCCTTCCTGTTGAGGTAGATATGCTCCAAAGATTCTTTGGCATTTCATTTTTGGCATTTCCAAAATGAAAATCACCCCAGACACAAGTCTAAAAGCTAAACTTGGGGTCTAACCCACCTGCTACCCAAACAACTAACTTACCAAATAATTATTTAAATTCAGTTACAAAGATTTCCTGCAAAAACTGCATTGCTGCTTTTAAGTCTCATATGGGACCGGTAAATTTTTTTTATTCCATTGAATAAAGACTTTCAGGAAAAATTACTTCCCTAGAGTTTCACTGGTGGCCAAATCTAGGACTGAACAAACTTGTGTAATCAGGTTAGTACTCAGCTCAGACTAGCCTAGCCTGCAGGCAAGAAAAGACAGAGGAGGCAGATAGGCTATTACCCATTTCATATATAACCTGGAGAGGTACTAAAGTACTAGATTTGAATTCATGTATCTTAAGACTTTTAAAGCTCTACCTGGTAATCAGTTACAGTATAATACTTCCACAAGATGATGAAAAAAACACAGAAATTCAAAATCACTTACTTTGTAAATTATGCATCGCAAATGATCGCTCTTGTAAAACAGTCGAAAATGCAATCCAATATTGGTTTCATCTTATAAAAATCTTGTTTAAAAATAAATCCTAAAACCTCCATTTACTAGGAAGCTTCTCTGAAGCAATGAAGAAAAAGAGATTGCTCTGCTTTCCAACCAATGTTCCATAAAACCCCCTAAAACAGTTGTAACTTGCAGTGAGAAAATCCAAGCCTTCTCTGTCAACTGCTTAAACCTCTGTGCTGTGCAGAAGGTACCCACTTACTCTGGCTCATCATTAAAAAGTGAACCTGACTTCAGTACTGTGGAAAAAAAAAAAAAAAAGAAACCGCCACCCTCAGTAGCTTGCACGTCCCTCTCAGATAAAGATCTCAGTTTCATGATTAACTTGGGTAGGTTCAAATATTTGCTGAGCCAGGAATTTCAGCTGGGGGATGGGAGCCAGATTCAAAGTAAAAGTTGTCATCAACTAACAAGTGGCCAATGCAGAGCTAACTTTCTCATTTTAGCTAGGTAAATGAGAAGACCATTGTAAGAAGCCTAAAAACAATCCCTATCACTGGCTGCTGCATGCAGCATTGAAGATGAGAAAAGCACCATGAATAGCCAAATACAGGAAATGGCTAACTGCAGAAAAAAGCAGAATATAAATTTTCTTTGATGAGAGCTGCATCTCTAGAAACAGCCTTGTGCAAGCAAAATAGCCTACTTGTAAGCACAGCATCACCTTGTACATGCTCATGCTGGATCACAAATATAGGTGCTGCTTCAAGACCCTTAGTCTGAGCTGTGAGACTGTTTATCAATTTTCTATATACTAAAAATAGTTTTAAAAATCTCTCTGTATCCATGGTGGTTTCCAGTATATCAGGATTGTTCATTTCTTGGGCAGGCAGGTGGGAAAAGGAACTGTACAGAGAGGGAGGAGCTTAGGTTAAATGTATTTTCCTTGCCTTAGTGTTTGGTGGAGATCAAACTTGCTAAAGGAACAGAGCAGGAACTGAAGAGCCTACTTTTCTCTGCCTACAGAGGTTATCTTCTTTGCCAGTTAAACTTCTACAAGGAAACAAATTCAAAGTAAAAGAAGCAGACATATTAAGAAAAGGGGAGGAGGGGACTAATATTTTCCTCTCACTTCTTGCAGTGAGAATTTCTAATAAAAACAGTGAGAATTTCTTTGAGATCTGTTTGTTGCTCTTAAGGCAGTCAAATAGTATCAGAAAGTTTTTGCCTTCTTAATACTTCAATACCAAAATCCTCCTACACTGTGAAACACCACTTGCACCTAATAATGAAATCCCAAATACCTGCAGTACACTTTGATGTTTTGCACTTGACTGATTAGCTTCACCCATAACAATCCCTTGCTTCCCTAGTTTTAGCTTCTGCCTACTTGAACAATTGTCAGTTCTAAATATAATTTAAGTCTGCAGAGTCATAAAGGTACACCCTACTCCAAGTGGAGATGGAAACCTGTTTCTGAACCAGTTCAGCGTCAGACTGTACTTGATATACTTCTTTACTGTTACAGAAGGAGTTGAGAACTTTTCTTGGTTTTTAGGACCACAACACATGTATAAAGTCAGAGAAGAAAAGATAATGCAAACTTGGTTCACTTTTTCTCAATTAAAAAAGCACAGATAACCACACAGAGATAATGAGTTCCTTATTATCTGGCAGGAGCCATACAAGTGTCTTGTCAAAAAGAGATTCTGGCATGCACACACCTGTATTTTCAAATATTGCCAAGTCTTTTCTTTTTATCTAAATTTCAAAATTTTGTGTGGTGTCCATTTAATTTGCAGCCTAATATTCCCTGCAGTCACACTCAGTGTACTGCTATTAACATAGCACATTTTTTTCTAAAATATTATGTCTGAAGCAGGAAAAGAACTTATCAGGTTTGACATGCTTCCACATGTTTTACACATACATACCTGCACACGGACATAACAATCTGTAAAAATGCTAACAATGTTTTACGTATTGTTTCAGTCTTATAAAATTCTTGCAATTAGGTATTGAGAAACGGTACTGAGAAACACAAAGCACTGGCTTGTGTGAAAACTTAAACCAAGGATACAGCATTCCAAGTATGGCGGTTAGCCAAGCATTGTGGTTTCCGTTAGGTCAGGGATGAAGCCTGACTTTTATTAGCTTAGAAGGGGAGCCCTCTGCTGGGTAGGACACGGACGCACACGGTCCCCCCACCGTGGGCACCGCATCCGCTCTCCCTGGCACTTGCAGCCTTCTGCATGATCTAAACCCCGCT